AGTGGCAATGTGTTGGTATTACAGGCTAGTAATAGAATGAATAACATGTGCAAAGCTGAGGTTGCAACTCTTGTGTGACCTGTTTTTCTTTCATCAGCAAAATTCATGTTTTGATCTTCTCGGATGATTTTCAATTTTCACATTTCTGATAGAGAAATTACTGTTTGATTTGCACCCTTTGCACAAGCTTGTTTGGAAGATGATTTTTTTTGACAATTTCATGCTCTAAGCATGATTCTATATGCATAAAACGCTAATAAATGCGGTCAGTTATTGATTACAAGACCAGTTTTAAACTATTTTAAATTATGAAAAATATGGATTTTGAAAATAAGTGAAGTTTCATAAACTAATTTCTAGAGGAGCACATGATAGGATTGAGCTCAACTGACTGCTCATCTATAATCAGTAATAATCCAATCAGATTGATCCAAGCTTACAATAGATTTTCCCCCACTGCTCTGTCTTTGTTTTGGAAGAATCCCCCTTCCACCCCATCTCCTCCTTTTCTAAAGGGAGCTCTTGAGACCAACCTGATCTCAGATCGCCTTTTATGCTTATTGACCGGGCAGGAGCCTTGGGCTAAATTATCTCCAAGCTCAGGGTTCTCTTCCAGTACAGCATGCCATACCTGGTATAATGGCTAGCATATCTAAGTGTAAACTCTTCAAATTATGTTTTATCAATGTAAGGAGCCATCACAACCAATACTGTTTTAAATAGCCATTTTTAACTTTATTTTTAATAACATGAGATTTAGACATTTGATATAAAGTAATGAGATGCATATAGAGTTTCCAGTGGTATATTGTTATTCATATATTAATTGATCTCTTTAAACAGAGGTGCCTAAAGTAGGGTCTGTGGACCAAAGGTGGCCCATGGTAACCTTTGGTTTGGCCCACCATTCCATCTGAAAATAGAGACTTTGACAGAGACCATCGTTTCGAACTGAACATAATCTTTTGTTTGTTTGTGTAATTGAGGAGCTATAAAAAAACCCCAACTAAAATTAAATTATTATGTTTCATTTAAATAATGTAAATAAATCAGACTTTTAAAATGTGAATACTGTCAGAGAGAGTACAGTGCATAAGACATGGGTGAGCAAATCAAGGCAAAGCCAGGAACAGCTCAAGTAGTGTATTCAGCATTAAACTTTATTGTATTATAAATGGGATTGTTTATGTTTTTACTATTATAAGTTCATCATAAAATGGTAAAAATGATACTGCGTCATTAATTAATATGTTTTAAAGCCACATCTCTAGTTATTTTTAAATATTAGCAAATAAAGTAGGAAATTATCCATGGCAAATTTAATGTAATACGGCTTGGTATATTTAACTTCGGCCCACAGCCCTCAATCAAGTTTGTTTTTTGGCCCTTTATAAGAAAAAGTTTGGGAACACCTGTTTTTAAATGTACAGAGTAGCCTTTTTTGTTCCTTGCATTGAAGAGAGAGACATCTTCAGCTCTGCCTTATTCTAACCTTACCTTTCATTCCTCAATTATGCCTTATAAATATTACAATAATTACAGCACTTCAGGTTCAGCTGTCTAATAGAGTGAAATCATTCAGATTGTATCAGGGTTGAATCAGAATCTGAAGACGGTAGAGACTATAGAAAATGATTCAGTCCTACAATGTTTTATTCAGACCCATAATAAAGATGACTGGTTATTCAGTAGAACCCAGGGATAAAAATCTTTTTTCCTCTTCAAGGATGGTATCCAAACAAAGCATCATTGCGCTGAGATGAATTACTTTCCTGTAGACTAAAAGCTGACATCTATCATATTGTAGAAGCACCACAGCTTTGAGTTTCAGACATCATGTGGATGTATTTTGTCATTTCCTTTTTTTCTGGAGAGCACAGTTCTTTAAATCTGTATCACAGTATTTTGTTGCGGAAATTTTTTTAACAAATGACACATTCAATTTTAACATGACATATACTGTAAAAATATCCATAAATTAGCAGTCTTTCATATTTTGGGATTGATGTTTTTAAGGGACATTTAAGGCATTAAGGGATCTTTCTGCCAACAACTTTTAGCCTTAAAAAGTGCATGCATTTTTAATAGTTTAAAGTGATAAATTGTCTGTTGTTGTATATTATGGTACAAAAACCTTATAACTTATGTCTCTCCATATTATTTATTATACATAATAATTTTTTAAACTACTAAAATGTAATAAAAGTCACTTAATTAAACTGTAGAGATGACTTTTCAACATCAGATGTAGACAAAGCAGAGATCAAGGTCCCATAATGCAATTCACAACCACAAATAAACACAAAACACTTGAGTACCACAAAATATGGGAACTAGAATTAACAGATATTTTTTACAATGTAGTCTTAATATCAAGTGCACAGAGACGCATGTAATTAAATTTCCCGAAAACAGCATAACCAAAACAGTGCAGCACAAAAGAGTGCAGAGGTCTGACCAGCTCAGATGGAATGACCTTTGACCTCGGTATTGTTAGGGTGGCCTCCCTTTGAAAACTTGAATAGGGTGTTGTTCTCTCTTCCTGCTGAGATGTAATTGCGAACCCACTCCACTCATTAACTTAGGTTAATCCAAGCATAGTGGTCAGAAACTGGGGACGAATTATTCATTAAATGAGTTCAAGCCCCTGCCTTCCTGAAATTAAATAGATTTCAGAATGCATCTATTTTCTTAAATAATTTACAAAAGGCTTCAACCCTATATAAAAGTTTATGTGTAAGGAATAACACAAGGTGGTGATGGGACCATGAAGTAAAGCTGAATTTTGAGCCAATCATTCCGCTTATACTGTTACCACTCCTCAAGACTGCTCGGGTGTTGTATTTCAATACATTTGTCAGGTTTTGGTCCTCAAACAACTTTGGTGTAGGAATAGTAATACCCTGCAAAAACAAAATAATCAAAACAGCCAAAACTAGTTTTAACCAGCTTATGGCTGGCAAGAACCTGCTTACTTTAGACAAGCAGTTCAAAAGCAATGACCTCATGCTGTTTTTTTTTCTTCAGCAAGGCATCTCATCCAAAGGCTTGTGTTTTAATTTTATTTTATATCGAAGGCTGTGGAATAACAGAAATTAATAGTACAGAACTTTAACCAGAGACTAAAGAATGCCAAAAAGTTAAAGAGACTCCTAAGTGGTGGTCCAGAGTGTAATTTTGGGGCTTGGTTGTGTTTATAAAATGGAAAGCATTGTGTGCTCATGCTTCATTTGTAGTAAATCACGTTATTTGTTCATGCATCTTACTTTGATTATATACAGCTACTCAGTTAACATAAAAACGACTTTCGTATTTCCTAGTTCCTCTGAAAGGCCTGCCTTCAAGTGACCTGATTGGTCAGCTAACATAATGTGCTGTGATTTGCAAATTGGCTCCACATCACCTGGAAGCGTCACGTCTAGACACCCCTCTGCTAACACGCACTGTGCCTCTACTGTGTAAATACTGTCAGTCAGTATAACCACAGCGGTTTAAGCCTGAATTAGACAGAAAATGAAAAGGACACAGCTGAACCTCATTTCTGCTCTTTAAAAAAAACTGACAAGTGTCACATATATTCGGATTCTAAGCTTGTGTAAGTAATATGAAACGTTCACGTATCTTTTGTGAGTTGGTTTTGTTGAGATGTAGAACACAGGGAAAGTGGCCGCATAGAGAGACACTGCAGCGCTGGTGAAGATTGTAGGTGTTTACAGCAGTTTGACGGATAAATGTGAATTAGTAGCTAAATTGTTAACAGTGCCGAAAAGCATTTCCCATTGTTTACCTCCTTGTTACAATATACCGTTATTGCTAGAAAATGAGCATGTAATAGATCAATTTTAACAAAAAATAATACTTACAGGTTGTGGCTCACAATCCACAGCTTATTTTATAATGGCTGGAGCTGCTCCTTCTTTGAGGAGTTTTTAGCTGATTCCAGCACTGAACTGGGAGAGATTCTGGAAGCTGTCCTTTGTCAAACGCTAGCTATATATATATATATATATATATATATATATATATATAATTATTTTCTGGAACATAATTCAAATAAAACTGTTAGCACTTCTCTCTTTGTGTTGTGTCCTTTGGAAGCCCAAATACAGGAACAAAAGAAGCACTGTGGAAATAGCAGCGTTTGGACCACATTTTAGCTTGCTCTGCTATAACATTACAGCGCCTTTGGTCACGCCTCTTTGCTGTGTGGGGTGTATGCACGTGGTGAATGCGCATAACCGGGAGCGTTTGTGATCTTAATAACCCAGATGTATTTTTTTGTAGTCCCCAATCTTTGTTCGCTTTAGGCTTTGCTAAAGCTGTATAAGCCAATATCTCCCTTTTCATTGAACTTTGAGTGTATTACATTCAGAGATATTGTTTATGTTTACACAGCTACAATATACATCAACTAAAGTTTAAAATATGATCTCATAGTGGACCACCCCTTTAAAGGGACTTTGCTGTAATGTGGTCAAAACCTGTCTTCAATTACTTTATCCTTGGTTACCTGGCAATAGTTGCAGTCTTCATGTGTTTACCAGCCAATCAGAATCAAGCAATCACAGCCCGGTGATATAAGGTTTTTAAAATGCTTGATAAGATTATGTAACTTTTAAAATGCACATTTTATTCGATATAAAAAGCTGTCATCAAGTGAATTCATCTTGAAAAATGTTACAACAATAATGTTGCTATATGTTTGGTCGTCAGTTCTTAAATTATTAATTAGTATGATCTTAGTAGATAGACAGGCAGGCAGGCAGATAGATAAATAGATAGATAGGTAGACAGACAGACAGACAGACCTTATCTAAAAAGTGGCCAAACTGTTAACAATTAAACTTGGCCTCTACTGTGGAGAAAGCACTCACTGAAGCATGCTTGATTTTATTACATAAGACAGCTGATCACGTGGTCCAGCACGCCCTCTTACTCTTAATCACCAGTGAACTTCATTTTGCCGAGTTTTTATATAAACTGTTTCTTCTGCAAACTCAAAGGACACAGCATATCACCGTCAGCTGCAGGCATGTCTTCAGAGATGCAGAGAGACAGCTATGCCGGTTTCCAGCCGCTCTTCAAGTCATTCGCCACAAATGCGATCCACGTTGGTTCAGAACCCGAGCAGTGGAGCTCTATGGCCGTAGTGCCTCCTATTTCACTGTCCACCACCTTTAAACAGCACGGCCCCGGAAAACATGAGGTGAGTATAAGCAGTGAGATTTATTTTGAGCAGCGCCATTGAGAGATTAGTTTCCACTCCATTTAACTAAATATGACGCAAGATATCAGCATGACTTTTAAGGCTAATTGGTACAATTTTTGTTTAAATTATGAATTAATTTCGTCTGCTTATTAAGTGACTAGAATCAGTCACAGACTCATTTGAACCAGGCAAGAGATAAAATAGTCGTTTTCATAACTGGTTACAGTAATATCATCTATGCTGCAAGTTGACTGAATGTTTACTCAACACATCATGAGAAAAGCCAGATGCTTGAAGTAAAATGCTCACTTGTGAACCACCAGGCGATATTTCCCTTTTGTTACAATGTCTCATTGCTTAGAACGAAGTTATGTAATATGTAGATTTACTCTATTTTTTTTCTAATTATTTATTTATTTATTTATTTTTTGGTGTACCTTATGTCAAAGTGTCGGATAATATATATTCAATCTGCATATTATCAAAGATGTCCTTTTCCTACAGTTACACACTGCTGCATGTCAAATGCCACAAACATTGCTATAAAGAATTATATTTAGTGTTTTTTTTTACTCATTTTCTTTGACTTTGTATTTGCGTTACTCTCTTATTTTATATTGTATGTTCACAGTTCAGAACATTTGTTTTGTGCATTGTTATACTTTCTTTTTAATGTCTTATTTTTCCCTTGTAGGGATATGAGTATATCAAGACTGGTAATCCCACCAGAAACTGTCTCGAGAGAGCTGTGGCTTGTTTGGATGGTGCAAAATACTGTGAGTCATGTCATTTACCAAAACAAAAGCAGACATTTTATGTTTTGTGTACAAATGGCATTGTCATTAACTTTGAGTTTGCTGATAGGTGTTGCTTTTGCCTCTGGAATAGCAGCGACTGCGACCATCACCCATCTTTTAAAGCATGGAGATGGAATTGTGTGCATGTATGATATATATGGAGGTGGGTTGTGGCTCCTGCAGTATTAATGTAAAAAATTGTTACATCTAAAGTGTGAACTGTGAAGAGTCATTTTTTTTCTGAAATTGATAATACATTCATTTATTTTTTTGTTTTTTTTCCCACCAGGAACTAAAGAATATTTCAGAGAAATAATTACAGAATTTGACATTGATGCATCTTTTGTTGACTTCACAAAGCTGGAGGAGCTGAAAGCAGCTTTAAAACAAAATACAAAGGTACAGCGGAGAACATTTTTTCCAAGAATATACTGACGTCTTAAAATGTTTCTTTGACATTTTTGAAAATCCACATTTAAACCTTGATTTTTTTTTGTGTTAAACGTTACCACAGGGGTTTACCTCAGTAACTAAAATATGGTATTAAATATTCCCGTTATGACAGATGGTTTGGTTTGAAACCCCCACAAACCCTACATTAAAGGTTGTGGACATCCAGGCCTGTGCAGATATTGTGCATAAACACAACAAGGACACACTTGTTGTTGTGGACAACACATTCATGTCTCCCTACTTCCAGGTACACACACTTATTTTATGCACAATCATAAGCCAATGTTGCTTTTATCTAATCTATAAATCTAATTTGAATACATCAGGCAATATAAAGTTAGAAAGTACAATACTTGTTCCAGTTTTAAGAAATTCAAGGGCAAAGATATTTTTTTATACTGAAGCTAGATAAATATAAATAGAAAACTAAAATAATTAAAATAGAAATATTTCTTAAATATTTTTCATCCCTGAAACAGCGCCCCCTTGCACTTGGAGCGGACATCTGCATGTGCTCTGGAACAAAATATATGAATGGTATTAAGCTAATAATAGTATAAGTTAGATGCTTCATATCTAATTGAAATTGAACCGATTTGAAATAAAATGATTTGATGATTTGTGTAATTCCAGGACACAGCGATGTTCTCATGGGGCTTATTTCTGTCAATCGTGAGGACCTCTATAAGCGACTGAAGGTTTTGCAAAATGGCAAGTTTTCATCTAAATAGAAAACATTGTGTTTTAAACACAACATAAAAAGTATGTTATATGTAAACATTTTCACCAAAGAAGGTAATTTCTTTCATCATATGCTCACCCTGTACTTGTGAAAAACTTGTCTATGTGTCTTTTTCTGTCTGAAAATCGTCACCTTGGAATTATAAGGTTCTATCTGCGTTCTAAATTATTTAGAGATTTTGAATTTTAAAGTTTTGGCATTCCATACAGCAAACAATATGCAAGGAACCTTTTCCTTTTTATACATCAACATGACAGAGATCCTAAATGTACTCTAAATGTAAATTTTCAAAATTCTCTTTTCTCATTTGCAAATTGGGATAAAAAACCAGGACGAATGCAGATTGAACTTTCTAATTCTAAGAAGTCATTTTTCACTTAGAATTATAAGGTTCTATCTGCCAGATCATTAATTGAAGCATTACTTTTCAACAAATACAACCAGGCTGCTAATTAATTTAATAAAAAAAAATGATGTTGCAGCAATATGTTGATGTTTGAGAAAGTTAAATGTTTGCTTTCTATAACATTTATTTAAGGTTTTAGGATGAATATTTTTCTTGTTCAGATTAAGCATACAAGGCTGTGCTAAATATTTTGTCCAGTGCAGATACTAATCTTATCTTATTAATATCTTAATATTTATTGTTGTAATTAAGACCCCATGAATTAAACTAATTATTTTTCCTTCATGGCTTAGGTTTAAATGTAAAGACTTTAAAAGAAAACAGACAATGAGCAAATGAGTTGTTTAACAAAGTTTAATAAACACTGAGAAATGTTTCACTGACCATATATACACACAGAAAAACATTTCACATTTAATATATATATATATATATATATATATATATAATTTTTTTTTTTTTTTTAACAACGAAGCAGTCCGGTGGAATGACAAAGAAAGCTGATCCTGATTGGTGTGTGCATTTAAAAAGGCTGATTGGCTCACAGAAAGAACCTTATAGGGCCAAGCTTGAGTTTGACTTTGTAGATAAAACCTTTATTGTTTTTTTAAAATAAAAAATCTTAAAATGTAAATAACTTACACATAATGTAAGTTATCATTTAACAACAATATGTGAATAACTCAATTATAATTATAATTCTAAAGTAACAAAATGTTGGAAACTTATAACCATTGACCTCCATAGTATGTGTTATCCCTACTGCGAAAGTCAATGGTTACAGGTTTGATACATTTTTCAAAATAACTTTTTTGTGTTTAACAGTAAAAGGAAATTCATGAAGGTATTGGATCACTTGGAGTGCGTAATTGGCAAAATTTCATTTTTGGGTGAACTCTCTTTTTAATATCCAAATTTTCTGTAAAAGCTCTTCTCTTTATGATTCAGTTGTGTGAGTTTGATTTGATTTATTTGTACTAACAGCAGAGAACAGATACATTGTGTTATGTACATTGATACAATGTCAAATCTACATTTGTTATCGATGACTACTGTATATTGGCACAGTTTGATAAATAATTATGTGGATAGATGCATCTTAATGGTTTCCTTGTTCTCAGATTTTATGCAAATTTGAAATATAAAACTGTAATTCACACAAAAATGTGCTTTTATTGCTGCTGTATGATCAGCTTTGATTTTTAATCGTGTATTTACAAGACCAATGACTGATACCACTGAGCTTATCACTGAAATTTGTCAAAAAGGAATCTCATCTCTTTTAATTAATTTTAATCTCATTAATTTAATTTTTGCAAAATACATGTGTTAACATGCCCAAGAGAGGCATAATACAAAATGTTCAGACATTTTTTCTGGGAAGAAGAAAATATGCCTTTAATTTTCTTTAATAGAAGTTACATGTCTTCAGGTGAACGTAAAATCCTGTTTTAATATCTATAGCCTATATTTCCCTATTGCTACATTTCCTCACACGGTTTAGAAGTTATGTAAAATGTTAATTTTCCTTTTAATCACTTTATTGGAGTACATACCTCATCTTGAAGTGTCTGATTTCTTTTTCCTTTGCTTATTGTTATCCTTTATATAATGTAGTTTTTAATTCACTCTATTCATTGCTTTGATTTATTTTTAATGCACAACTCCCACCTTTACATGGACACCAACCAATATTCTGATTTTAATACCATTAAGACAATACTCTTAATAAAAATCTACCATGTAAACAGAAATATTTCATTACTTTAATCTGACTAAATTCATAATAAAACTAAACAGAAATTGAATCATGAGTCATGTAAACAACTTAATCAAACTATTAGCTTCGTGTAGGACTTTTCACTGCATTTTGACAAGATTTTCTCCTTACACTAATATTTTCATGCTGATTCAGCCTGACTGTTACTCTAAAAAGGACTTTGAGTTAAATGTGTAGCATATTTTCACCTGTCTCTTTTTCCCATAGCTGTTGGTGCTGTGCCGTCTCCATTTGACTGTTACATGTGCAATCGGGGTCTAAAGACGCTGCACCTGAGGATGAAGCAGCACTTTAAGAATGCACTGGCTGTTGCACAGTTTTTAGAGGCCGACCCGAGGGTGGACAGTGTCATCTTCCCAGGTCATTAATCCTTAATTATGTTGAAGTTTACATTGAATGAATGTGATGTATTTTCAATACAAATAACCTAAATTCAAATTATCACTAATGAAAAAACTTCAAATTTCATCACTACGCTTGTCTTTTTTTTATTAATGCATAAATGACATATACAAAACAATGCCAGAGGTGTATATACAAATATATAAAGCATAAAAGAGTTATATAAATGTACAAAAACTCAATAAGTAAAACAAAGTAAAATAAAATAAAGAATAATAAATAATATTACAAAGGGCGATGCAGTGGCGCAGTAGGTAGTGCTGTCGCCTCACAGCAAGAAGGTCGCTGGGTAGCTGGTACAAGCCTCGGCTCAGTTGGCGTTTCTGTGTGGAGTTTGCATGTTCTCCCTGCGTTAGCGTGTGTTTCCTCCGGGTGCTCTGGATTCCCCCACAGTCCAAAGACATGCGGTACAGGTGAATTGGGTAGGCTAAATTGTCCGTGGTGTATGAGTGTGTTTGTGTGTGTGTGTGTGTGTGGATGTTTCCCAGAGATGGGTTTCGGCTGGAAGGGCATCTGCAACATAAAAACTTGCTGGATAAGTTGGCGGTTCATTCCGCTGTGGCAACACCGGATTAATAAAGGGCCTAAGCCGACAAGAAAATGAATGAATTAATAATAATATAAATAAAGGAACTAAAAAAAAAGAATGAATGAATGAATGAATAATATTACAAATGACGCTAGGTGTTGCTATCTCACAATAACTTAATTTTGTCAAACAAATACACAGATATAACAGCTTTTTTGTTTGTACTCTCCTTAATAATATTTATACAAATATCTAGTTCTATAAGTATCACTGAGAAAAGAGGTTTCTGACTGCTAATTTTACGATGGATATGAAACTTGGTAAGTATAATAAAACAAATAATAACATAAGCTTCATTTTCTAACTTCTTACACTTCAAATAACAAAAAATGCCATATTCATACAGTAAATGAAAATTTTGCACCACTTTATCATTTATAAGTGATTTTTCATAAACTAATTTCGAGAGGAGCACGTGATATGATTGAGCATGACTGGCTGCTCATCTGTAATCAGTAATAATCCAATCAGAGTGATCCTAGTTTACAATAAATGGATCGTTTTCTCCCTACTGCTCTATCTTCGTTTTGGAAGAATCCTCCCTTTCACCCATTCTCCTCCTTTTCCTCCCTTTACCAGGGGGAGTTCTTGAGACATACCGGATCTCGGATCCCTTTATATGCTTATTGAACGGGCGAGAGCCTTGAGCTCAATTATTTCTGAGCTAAGGGTTCTCTCCCAGGACAGCATACCAAACCTGCTATAAATGCTAAGCATATCTAAGTGGGAACTCTTAAATTTAGATACCTTCTATCATAAACTTTGTGTATACTGACAATGCCAGAAAATATGAGGTACTGTTACTGGGTATAATAAACAGAATGAACAATTGACATCCATGTCTTCAATAAATCTACTTAAATGCTTAACAGGGTAACATTTGTGTAGTATGATGTCCTTGATTTTATTTGTAATTAGATATTTATTAGGTAATATCAACACTTTCCACCAATTACTATTTTTAATAAATTTAGATCAATAGAAAATAACATATGATTTACTAACCAGTTCTTTTTTGGAATAATAGACGTATGTTCTTCTTATTATTCTTTTTGCTAAATGAAAAACAAATTTTGCCACAGAGCAAAGAAAAGATTTTTAGAGTAAGAAAGACCTCTACATAAAGAAACAATACTAGAAGAGATAGCTCCAATTACAGAGGCAACATGTCTTTATTATGAGTTTTGATCAGTTTAATGTGTACTTACTGAATAAAATTATGACATATTTAAAATCTAATTTCAAACTTTTTAACGATAGTGCCAATGTCAACATACCTGAGCTATTTCGCTAAAAATAACTGATATCAATTAACTTTTGGTATTTTTTTTTCTTCAGGTCTTCCTTCTCACCCTCAACATGAGCTGGCAAAAAGACAGTGCCGAGGCTGTTCTGGGATGGTCTCGTTCTACATAAAAGGACAACTTGAGCATGCCTCAACCTTCCTCAGCAATCTGAAGGTGCTCAAAAGCATCCTATTGTTGAAAAATCTTTAACATCTTATGTTTTTTTTGACTATGTTCTATTCTGAATTCCAGGTGGTTGCACTTGCTGAAAGTCTTGGTGGTATTGAGAGTCTAGCAAAGCTTCCGTAAGTACTGAGGTGCACTACTGAGAGGAATTTTCACTGAATATTGTGTTTATGAAAAGCATCTTTGTTTTTTTTTAATGAGTGTTTATGTGGGTGTTAGTTTTAAAAAGGTTTAAGAGTGCTCAGTTCGAATGACCACAAGGGGGCGCAAGCACTTTAATGTTTACCAACAGAAACGAGTCGACGCTTTTGATGCCTGAATATTTTGCATCCGATGTACGTTATTTAGCGAGAACTAATTAAACATTTCTTTAGGTCATACTATAATACTCGGCCTACAGTGTAAAAGCAAAGTTAAAATTGGTAATACAAGTCTCATGAAACGTCATTGTGTCAGATTTGAGATGCTTTTGTTCTCAAGTAATTTACAAGGTGGTCAAAAATAACATCAATTAATTATCTCTTGCTAAATCTTTCTTGATATCAAACCTTGTCCAATGTTATCATGATTTATACTGGAAAATAGATTTTTATCCTGGGAAATAGGTTCTGAATCAATCAAAAACTCATTTTGAGGAGACATTTCATCCACTTCTGTTTCCCATAGTGCACTTTTTCTTTTCCAGAGCGACTATGCCTCATGTTTCACTGAGTAAGGATGAAAGGGAAAAGCTGGGCATCAGTGATACACTCATCCGTCTTTCAGTGGGTCTGGAGGACGAGGAAGATATTATTGCAGATCTGGACCAAGCTCTTAGTGCTGCAGTGAGTATCTCAGAACCCATATTTAGGAATATAATGTGTCAGTAGATAATAACTTGTAATTTGCCATCACACACTTGTTGTGCATTTAAGCATACTCCAATTTTAGCTGTATTTACTGTGTCTAGCAAAGAAAGTCATTAGACTGAAGGATAGTTCTGACAAAACTGTATTTTCAGCAAGTTCTTAACAAGGACACCTACTGTAATAACTGATATTAGATTAAATTAGATTCAACTTGTCATTTCTCATGTACAAGGAAACGAAATACAGTTTAGGTCTAACCAGGAGTGCAATAGCAGCAAGTGCAGGATATACTGTAGTTATAAAGTGCATTTATAGAAAAACTATGGTGATATTTACAAAATGATATATTATGAACATCATATATAGTTTGTATTAGCTACGAACAGAGATTAACAATAGATGAATATATGTACAGGCTGTTATTAATTAACAGAAGTATGCAGATATATATTAACATAATTACAAATGTATATGTACAGTGGCTATGTACATAATTACAAATGTATGTGTATAGTGGCTATGTACATAATTACAAATGTATATGTACAGTGGCTATGTACATAATTACAAATGAATATGTGCAGTGGGTATGTACATAATTACAAATGTATATGTACAGTGGCTATGTACATAATTACAAATGTATATGTACAGTGGGTATGTACATAATTACAAACGTATATGTGCAGTGGGTATGTACATAATTACAAACGTATATGTGCAGTGGGTATGTACATAATTACAAACGTATATGTGCAGTGGGTATGTACATAATTACAAATGTATATGTGCAGTGGGTATGTACATAATTACAAACGTATACGTGCAGTGGGTATGTACATAATTACAAATGTATATGTACAGTGGGTATGTACATAATTACAAACGTATACGTGCAGTGGGTATGTACATAATTACAAATGTATATGTACAGTGGGTATGTACATAATTACAAACGTATATGTGCAGTGGGTATGTACATAATTACAAACGTATATGTGCAGTGGGTATGTACATAATTACAAATGTATATGTACAGTGGGTATGTACATAATTACAAATGTATATGTACAGTGGGTATGTACATAATTACAAACGTATATGTGCAGTGGGTATGTACATAATTACAAATGTATATGTACAGTGGGTATGTACATAATTACAAACGTATATGTGCAGTGGGTATGTACATAATTACAAATGTATATGTACAGTGGGTGTGTACAATTCAAACTGAATTGAATGAATTAGTGCAATGTAGTGCGATTTGAATATGTGCAATTTTTAAATGTACAAACAGTAAAGAGTGCAGTGATTATGGGGAGTAAAAGTTATGAGGAGATAGCGGGGGTGTATGAGGGGGAAAAATAGTCAGTGGGGGACAGAGTTCAAAAGGGAGTGAAAGGTTCAGGGGGAAAAAGCTGTTCCTCAGTGTGCTGGGTGTTGCCCAGGGGAGCCTGAAGCGCCAGCCGGATGACAGGATAGAAAACAGTCTGTGAGCAGGGTGAGAGGAGTCCTTAAGAGTACTGTGTGCTTGGCACAGACAGGATGTCCTCAATGGCTGGAAGATGGCAGTCCCTGTGATGCGTTGGGCAGTTTTCACTACCTGCTGCAGTGCCTTACGCTCAGCAACAGAGCTGCTTCCATACCAGAATGTGACACAGTTGGTCAGGATACTCTCTATCTAAGTTCACCAAGACAGCTGATGACCGCTGGTTCTTCTTAAGTTGCCAGAGACACTGCTGAGCCTTCTTGACCAGGCTTGAGGTTTTGGTGGTCCAGGTCCTTTGAGATGTGGGTCCCCAGGAACTTGAAGGATTGGTTGAACAGTCATCCCATTGATTTGGATGGGATCATGTGAGCCTGTTTGTCCCATCCTGAAGTCTACAATGAGCTCCTTGGTCTTAGTGGTGTTAAGGAGCAAATTATTGTCTGTGCATCAAGTGGCCAGATGCTTTATCTTCGTCCTGTAGGCATCTCATCATTGTTGCGGCTTAGACCGATAATTAACCTTAATTGATAAATGTATATGAAAAATATAAAGTATAAAAACACGTATGAAAAAAATGATACTGTATAATATTTTTGCAGAAATCATTGTATACAGTACAGTGCAGCAGCAAAGAGTATTATAGTGTGTTTACAATTTAGTCAAGTTGTGATAGCAACCAACCAGGACCTTGCATATTTGCATTACATGAATCAATTTAAACATTTTTTTTTTAATGTGAATGTAAACACTGTGTGGGATCTATTTATTCAATGCACATAATCTATAACTTGCGCATCAATACAACAATAGTCCAAACAAACACTTTCAGTCACATTAGTTCTAGATCTACAGATGGCCAGTGCATTATGTGTATATGACATTAATGTTATCTTGCTAAAGGCATCATACATAGTTGTGTTCATTTCTATTAGTATAGCCTCAATTTTCTGCCCAAAGGTGCTTTCGTGTGTTTAATGGCGCGTCCTTGCGAAAACTGATTTTATTCCCTGAAATATGGGATTGTTTTAAGCGTGTGTCAACACTGACATCATTTTAGCCCATAAAGTTCAGCGAGCCATCTCTGAGAGCGCAGGTCATTTCCCCTCACTCTGAAAAAAGAAGGTTCCAGGAAATAAAGACAAATCAGCTTAGATCACAGCCTGAGAATTACTCCCATAGAAACGGAGAAACTAGGAGTTGCTTTCTCTCTTGGGAAACCTATCTGCTCTTTTGGACGCAGCCCTAAAGTGTGATATAGCAGCGGTGAAGATGCTCTTATTAGAGAGCAAAGGTGCCGCAGTGTAATTTGATAAGATGTGCACATTGGTACACCATGCACCCCATTATTGTGATGGTCTTTGTATGTCTTAGGCGAGAGTCTTTTTTGTGGCCAGAAATTCAATGGTAGCTGTATTTTCTTATCTAATCGCTTTACATGCGCTTTGCCGCTCAACTAAAGAGAATGGAAATGAAATCATGTATCCAATTGATATCCAGTACCCCTCTGAGATCATTACAATAAGAGCTTGTGTGATGTGCGGTGTGTTTTAATTTAGTCCCATACGTTCTTAGGGGTGCATTCCATTAGGTCCTGGCACACAGTTTTCCTTTGGGAGTTATGGATCTTCGGTCTCCTCTGTTCTTTCTGAAAAGCGTAGGTTAATTATCTGCACTTTGGTGAGGTTTAGAGCTGTCATTTCTTAAAAAAAGGCTGGATATGCTGACGTTCACATCTTTAAATGAACCACTCTCTGCAGTTAAATTGCTTCCTTTGTGGATGCTGTTTTCACCAGTGTGGTGAGACTGTAAGGGATTGCATTGTTAGGCAGCTGAGGACTGATTGATTTTTATTTAACAACAAATCATTAAAAAATAAATATCTATTATGATTTTAACAAAAAAGTTCAACATTAACATATATAACAAGGGGAAAATATAATATTTTAAACTGGAGTAATACCTGCTGAACATGTAGTTTTAGATTACAAGGTGAAATTACAATTGAAAATATGTGACCTCGGACCACAAAAAAAAAGTTCTGCTGGCCTCAGGCCGCCTAATCAAAGGTTGGCTAACCAATCAACCATAGACAAAGAAATGACCATTTAAAGACTTTTCGTTATTGATTAACTTTTTGTATCAGAAGCCGGATAGACGGAAACATGCTGAATTAACTCACAAATGAAGCGATGTCTCTGTTGAGCGCCCGCACTATACTTTCCTCAGATATACAGGCATTATATAACTGATACAGAGCTACCGGATCAAATAGCCCACACAAACATTTATCAATAATGCAGAGTCTAACTGAATAGAAATAAGTCTAACTGATAAGAAAGCAAACCTTTTTGTCAATGTTTAATTTGTGTCTGTATTGCCTCAGACTCTTACTGTCATTCTTATAAAGTATTGGCACTGGATATTTCATCAGACAATAATTCTGATGCTAAAGTCTGCTGTAAATGACTTGTAAGACCAATTTTCTTTTGGGAATTAGAAACACGGACTTTTAAAGTTGTCTTTATTATTTCATTTCTGATCAGCTAAAGTTCTAAAAATATTTAAACATATGACATCTTATATTCCAACTGTTAGAAGTTTTTTATGCATATTGCATTTATTACATGTGTGCTTGTAGAATATGATCAAATATAGACAATAATCAATATAGTAGACTACAAATACAGTAGACTATAAATCAAATAGTAGAAAATGAGATAATATTAATTGTAATAATAATTAACAACAATATTAAAATAATTCTAACAAATATATTAATAGAAAAAAATACTTTTGTGTGGCAATAAAATAAACCCCTGGGCTTGCTATAGGCAACGTGTTTTCAATCTGGCCATGGTTACCTGGGTATAAAACCCAAATATACATTGTATGAGTCAAAATGATAGATTTTTATCATTTTTATTTAATCCAAAAACATATATTTGTATATACGTTATAACAGGGTATATGCAGGAATCCTAAAGATCATTTCAATACCTTTTTAAGACTTTTTAAAGACCTCTGAATATTTTAAGACCTCATCGCCACTTCAAGTTCTAATCAGCATCAAACCTTTAACTTAATAAACAGTTGTTAATAAACAGTTGTAGTTAAATAAATCAATAGGGCACAACCATGCAAAAGAACTCTGATAAGTCGGAGGAAACAAAGCTTGAAAGAATAAATTATTCGGTTGTTTTCAACGACAAACTTCAGCCACTGTTTAAACTCGTCTTTCTCTAACCAGTAGTACGCAAACTTACATTTTCCCATTTTGCCGACTGTTTTGCTACATCAAATTACGTGACATCACCCAGACGGAGGAGCTTGTCTGGACGTGTCCTGGCTTGAACTAATCACGTGGATCGAGCACGTCGTTCTAAATATTAGGAGGAAAATAAATGTATTTGTGCTTTTTTGGAGTCAAACACTTTAGACAATGCTTAAACAAAAAAGTAAGACCTCGTAAAACCACTATCAAGACATTTTAATACCTTTTAAGGGCCTTAATTTTTTGAGAATTGATTTATCAACTTTTAATACTTTTTAAGACCCTGCGGACACTCTATATAAATATAAACTCTTAAGTAAAGATCATCTTTACTTAGAAAAAATGTTGTATCTCGACTTCACAACAAACCCTACATCAGTGGAAATGTTATTTTAATTAGCTTAGTAATTCTCACCTCATTCAGAACTGTGGCTAGTTTTGCAGTCCAGGGTCACATTTTTAAAGAGAAATATATAATTGTTTTTACTTATTTATACTCAGTATATGCTGTACTTTTGATCAAATAAATACAGCATGGTTAAACATTTAAGGAGTGCCTTTGAGTAATGAGTTGTTTGGTGCTTTTCTGTTTTATTTATAACCAATACATGTCTCTCTTCAATATTTGATTCATCTAATGTTATATTACCCATTTCTTTTTTTTTAAAACAGCATCCAAAAAAGTAAGAGGGTGATCAAGATCAATCAAGAACAGAAGTGATGCCACGTGCCACAAAATAATGTCTTTGTCATCTTGTCCACATTTCTAATTTACTTGCTACATGACAGTCGCTTGAAAAACATTAATTGCATCTGTCACAGTACAAAAATAATCTTCAAGAAACTCATTTGCCATCATTCATTCAAAGGAGAATTGCTGCTTTTGCATTTCTACCTTTTTTTTTTATTATTATTATTATTTTTTAGTAATTATAGTTTGAGGCAGTGGGCAGCCAAACAGGCGCTCTGCTATTAAAGGTTTTAATATAGGAAAATGCTTGCACTGCAAGGAAAAAAAACAATATCATTCTAATGAAGATTTTTATTTGCCTTTTTTATATAGACTATTCAAGTGAGTTATTCAAGAATATGTAACAAGAACTACAACAAATAGAATAGACAGCTTTAAAGTAATGCACAAGCACAATCAAATCTTTAGTTTCTGCATCAATAATGAGGCTCAATCACTTCATAATGTTCGAATCACCCATCTTTGACCCGTGTGGGTTTTTCAAATACTGATTAGATGCTTGAGTGTTTTTGAATTTGTGCATTTATAGTAAATGAAATGTGATGACTGATTGCATAGCAAATGTTTTTACGTAAACCCTCCCAGCAGGCACAACATCATTAGCTGTTAATATTTGGTTAGATTTAGGTTGTGACGTCAAGTGACCAAAATTTTATGTCTAGCCAGCATATAAAGACAATGTTATTTTGACGTATTATAACGTCGTGACATGATTTTGATATTTGGTTGATTTTTAGGTTGTGTTGGAAAGTGAACAAAAAATGCAACATCCAACATCTTAAACCAATGTTATATTGACGTCAAATACTAACATTTATTTGTCAGGTTTAGTAACCAAAATTCAATGTCTGATAGACATCGTAGTGGTAATGTCCACACAACGTCATGCTGTAACATCATTAGATGTTGATATTTGGTTGATTTTATGTTGGAAATTGACTTCGACCTGACGTTGAGTTCTACTGTCAACCTGATTTTTATTTCAAACAAAATGTAACGTCCAAACGACATTGGGGTACAGTGACTACGTGTACATAGACATCAGTAACTTAATTATTTGCCTTAATCTAATTAAGACAATAATAAGATTAAGGTGTTTACATGATTTGTTGTTTTCATAGTTCCTTTTCATGATCACGTTTTAAGTGTTATAGCAGATAATTCGATTAACGTCATTGTGTCACCATGCTATCTGCATTTCCTCCGGAGTTTCATGTAATTTCGGGTGTTTCATTTTTAATTTGTCAACTTTAACTGCAGTTTGGCACTTTCACTTTTCATTTGGGAACATTTTATGCATGCCCCCCATGACAAACAAGATATTGGGTGCAACTATGAACTGCTGGAAGAAAGTTGTTTTAATAAAAGTTCATACCGCATGCTGAATGTAAGAAAAAACCTCAGCATTTCATGATACAGGTCTGTGGTCTGCACTGACTCGGCAGGTGCAGACAGTGTCAAACAGCCATATGTTTGTGTGCGCGCGCGTGTGTGTGTACTAATCTGTCGCAAAACGCGGTGAAAAGTCCTACATAATGGGAAAAGTTCGATTAATGTATTTACATGTTTGTAATTGAAATGAAGTTTACGGCCCTTTGGCCGCCGGGAAGAAGGAGGCGGAGAACGTTCGAGGTTACTAAAGTAACCCTTCGTTCCCCGAGGAGGGGAACGGAAGCACTATAAGTGGATTTGATTTGTAAAATCCACGCATTGGGAGGTTCGGTTCAGAAGCTACTCGTCTGAAAGAGTATTGAACGGGCCAATTAAGAATGAATTGGCAGCGCAAGCCTGCGCAGGTGAGCGGCATAAGCAATCAACTGAGTATATAAGCTCACCTGGCGCAGCAGACGCTATCCTTTTTAAGCTGAAGAGACTTTCAACAGCTAAGGGACAGTCATTATGGCGACGGAGTATAGTGCTTCCGTTCCCCTCCTCGGGGAACGAAGGGTTACTTTAGTAACCTCGAACGTTCCCCTTCGGGGGGAACTTCAGCACTATAAGTGGATTTGATTTGTAAAATCCACGCATTGGGAGCCCATTGAAAGCGCCATAATGACTGCACCTTACCAACACCCCCGATGAGGAGATAGTCAAGCAAGCGTGACGCACCCACATCATGGGGGGCGCGGTCCTCCAACGTGTCCCTGGCCCTAATTTATCCTACTTCAACAGAAGTTTTACGGATTTATATATATTTTTTGGGAAGTCGTGAGCATCTAGATAATTCTAGGAAAATACGACAGTACGTTGGGAAGCGTGCAATCCCGATAGGGAGGACGCTGCGGAGGCCATCCGTTACCCAAGGGGGGATAGATGGCAGAATTTACATATGGACTAGCCCTAAAAAGGGGGAGTACGCATAGCAAAAGAGTGGTTAGCGGGGAGGGAAGACACGGGTCCGCCCAGGGGGGGGGGACTTAACCGTGGCTGAATAAGCATATGGGATCGCCTAGTGGGGACCACGCATAGCAGGCACCTTTACCCAAAACGCGGGCTGACCAGCGGGCAGACCTACAACGTAGTGGGCCAGCAAGTGACTCCTCCGCTGAGTCAGTGCTGGGGGCCACGGAGGAATCTGCAGGGCTCACCTGACGGGGAACTTTACTGACAGATAAAAAAGGCGCACGTATCTCCGTGTTAGGGAAAATGGCGCAGCAAGCGTGTTTCAACACCCTACCGAATTGTTTCCTCAATCACCAAGGGTTACCTAATACCCTTGAGGAAACCGGCTCCACCCGCAGATTGTAAAACCTTGCAAATGTGTTGGGTGTCACCCAGCCCGCAGCTCTACAGATGTCTGTTAGAGGGGCGCCGCGTGCGCGCGCTCGAGAGGATGCGAAGCTCCGAGTGGAGTGCGCACGCGCTCTCGGGGGACGCGGCTCATCTCGGCTCTGATAGTGAAAGAAAGGCATCCACAATCTAGTGGGAACTTATTTCGGTACGGCACTTCCCTGCTGCCGACCGCTATAACAGACGAAGAGCTGCTCAGATGATCTAAACTCTGAGTGCGGTCCGGATAATACGCAAAACGCGAACTGGACAATAAATAAGGGCTGGGTCTGCCTCCTCCGAGGGCAGCGCTTGCAGGCTCACTACCTCGTATTAAAACGGAGTGGTAGGAACCTTGGGCACATATCGCGGGCGGGGTCTCATACGTGAGAGAAGCCAGCCCAATTACAGGCACGAGTCACTGACCGAAAAATGCCTCCGGGTCCCCGACCCTCTAATCGATATCAACGCGACCAGCAGAGCTGTCTTCAGGGACAGAAAATACTGAGTCGAGGATCGAAGGGATCTGACGCGGCTTGTGTAGCGAGGGCGAGATCCTAAGAGGGCATGAGAGGGGGCGGGGTGGATTAATTCGCTTAACGCCCCTGAGGAACCGGATGATGAGGTTATGCGTTCCCACGGTGCTGCCAGCCACCGCGTTATGAGAGCGGAGATGGCAGCCACGTAACCTTGAGTGTGGAGGGCGACAGCCTGCTCTCCAACTTCTCTCGGCGTAAAGAAAGCACAACGCTGATCTGGCAAATTACGGGGGTCTTCTCAGCGAGAGACACACCATTCAGTGAATAGACTCCACGTCAGGGCATAGGCGCGCTCGGGGAGGGGGCTCTAGCCCGAGTGACGGTATTAGCCACCGCAATCGGAGGTTACCTAAGTCTTCCTCGCGTCTAAAAATCTCTTCAAAGATCGGCGAGGGTGCCAGGTGGTGCCCTGTCCCTGAGAGAGTAGGTGCTCTCTCGAAGGGACTGCCAGGGGAGGGCTATCGCGAGGGAGAGCTCTGACATCCAGGTCCGGTTGAGCCAGAGGGGCGCAACCAGCAACCTGTTCCTCGTCCTCCCTGACCATGCACAGTAACTGCGCGAGCAGGCTCACTGGGGGAAACGCGTATTGCGCGTGCCCCGAGGCCAGCTGTAAGCCAGTGCATCCGTGCCGAGAGCACTCGGTCAGGGAAAGAACAACTGGCAATGAGCGATCTCGGGGGAAGCAACAGATCGATCTGGGCTTCCCCGAATCGCGCCCATATCAGCTGAACAGACTCGGGGTGGAGTCTCCATTCTCCAGGACGCAAGGCTGCCGTGAGAGCGCATCGGCTGCACGGTTGAGCTTGCCTGAATATGAATGGCGTGCAGCGATTTCAGCCGCGGATGACTCCAGAGGAGCAGACGGCGGGCGAGCTGAGACATGCGGCGAGAGCGCATACCCCCTATACGGCTGATATACGCCACCGCCGCCGTACTGTCCGTCCTGACCAGCACGTGTTGCCGCTCCAACACCGGAAAAAAACGGTGGAGAGCGGGGAACACTGCCAACAGCTCCAGGCGATATGCCAATGCAACTGGGTACCTTTCCACAGGTCCGCAGCCGCATGCCCGCAACGCACAGCCCCCCAGCCCGTGTTGGAAGCGTCTGCTGAAACGACAACAAGACTGGACGCCTGTTCTAGAGACACCCAGGCCTGTAGGATCGAGGGGTCGCTCCAAGGGCTGAGGGCGCGGCGACACAGCGCAGTAACAGAGACTCGGTGTGCGCGCGCGTGCCATGCGCGTCTGGGGACTCGATCGTGAAGCCAGTGCTGAAGTGGTCTCATATAGAATAATCCGAGCGGCATGAAGCGGCTGCGGATGCCATATGCCCCAGGAGCCTCTGAAATTGTTTCAGTGGGACCACTATTTTACTGTCGAGCTCTCTCAGACAGTACAGCATCAGCTGAGCGCGCTCTCCGGAGAGGCGCGCTGCCATGGTGACCGAGTCCAGCTCCAGCCCGAGAGAAGAGATCCTCTGCACGGGGGCGAGTTTGCTCTTTTCTCGGTTGACCTGAAACCCCCACAGGTGGAAGTGCCAGAGCACTTTGTCTCTGTGCATAATCAACTCTGTGCATAATCAAAAGAGAGGGCAATTCAGCCAGTCGTAAAGAAATTGAGTATGCAGATGCCCGCGAGCCGAAGGGGCGCTGAGGCACCCTCCGCGGGCTTGGTGAGGACCCGCGGAGACAGAGAGAGCCCGAAGGGGAGGGCTTTGTATTGCCAAGCTCGACCTTCAAACGCAAACCGCAGAAACTGTCGGTGGCGAGGAAGAGTGGAGACATGGAAATACGCGTCCATCAGGTCTAATGCTGCAGACCAACCCAGAGGACGAACGCACCGGAGGATGCGCTTCTGCGTGAGCATTCTGAACGGCAGCTTGTGCAGGCAGCGGTTCAAAACGCGCAGATCTAGGATTGGCCGTGACCCACCGCTCTTTTTGGGCACGATGAAGCGTGGGCTGTAAAACCCGCTCTCCATCTCGGCTGGAGGGAGCGGCTCGATTGCATCCTTCGCCAGGAGGACAGCAATCTCCTCTCGCAAGACAGGGGCGGACAGGGGGCTGACCCTGGTGAATACACACCCGTGACTTGGGGGGCCGTTTCGCGAACTGAATCGCATAGCCGAGTCTGATTGTGCGTATGAGCCACCGCGAAGAGCTGGCCCGCGCTAACCAGGCAGGCAGAGCTCTCGCTAATGGACTCATCGCTACAATCGCTGACGTACCAGCAGTGGGGCAGCG